TCATGGCGGCGTGTCAAGGAAAATTACAACAAACTGAAAATATCTTCATCACAGAATATTCAAATATTTACTTAGGCCAATATATTGTATTTTATTGTTGCAATAACAGAGGACTATGATATATAATTGTTTGCATTTACAACAAATCCTGCTTTAAATATAGAAATTAACTTCAACACAGCCTTTTAACAAATGTGCTAGTTTTTAGGGATTCACAATATGGATATTATTTGAGCCAATAATTACCTGCTTCTCTCTGATACAAATAACCAATAATTTTATGTTTTTGTATTTTAAAAACAAGTTCTCTAACTCTAACTGATATCACTATTGTTAACAAATTAAAAACTGTTCTGACTGGTTTATTTATTTATTTTTAGTAAAGTAAATCAGAAATTTCAGAAACTTTGACTTTCGTAGCCTTTTAAACGCTTTCTTTTAAAGTGAATTATTATAGCCTAATGGACACATCATTTATCGGCTATGATTTAATTATCACATAATATAAATTTATCATTATTGTACATTGCTACAACTTTTATTATTCTAACTGCAACTCACAATTTTGTTAGTGTGTGTGTGTGTGTGTGTGTGTGTGTGTGTGAGCTTCACTTTGATTGTGTGTTTATTTCTTCCTCTTTTCCAGGAATATATTTCACAACTCATTATAATTTCCCTCTTTAAAAGTATTATCTTTTTTCACTAGCACAATTACAAATACCAAAACCGAAGAGAACTTTTAATGTGTCAAGTCAACTTCTGTTGCAGGCGACGCTTTTAATCTGAAAGTCTTTAGCGGTAAGCAATGAACCCATGTGCTCGCCGTAGACTGTGCGTGTTGTCTGAATGTTTCTCTGTGTACTGTGTGGAGTTCAGTATCTGTCACAGCGGTGTTGAGGTGCGGATGAGCCGGTTCACCGGGAGCTGACAGAGATGTTGTGGAGCTCAGCAGGTCAGCGGGGATGTGTCGGGCTCCTCCGCTGCGGCTCGCTCGCTGTCAGGACACTCACAACCTCCGGCTGCCCTCCACGCACTTCACGCACTTCACGCTTCTTCTCCAGCTCTGCCCCCTCGAAGTGCCCCCCAACACAGGAGGAGGTGAGCCGGCCTCTGAGGCAGTGGGCTCTGGAGGTGAGCCCCTTCGGCACCGTGCGGGCACAGCTGGGCTGCAGCATCTCCGTGCGGCCCCTGGACCCGCACGCCTTCCCGGAGGCGGACCGAGCCCTGATCGCGGTCCACGGATCGGACACCGAGCAGCAGCAGGAGGTCGGTCTGGATCACTTACACGTCCGCTATGATGAGCAGAGACGAGAGCTGCTCATCTCAGCTGAGAGGGTTAACAGCAGCGTGTTGATTGATCTGGCTGCACCAATCAAAAGCAGTGAGTGTCTCAATGGATCCTGTCAGTTTTATTGATCCTGATGGTGCTTTTTCAAATGTCATCATACACGTCTGTGTTTTTGTCAGATCTCTTCATCACTACTCAGGGAAAAGGCAACGTGCAGGTGAAGAAAATGGAGTGTGATATATGCAAGGTGCAGACAGAGAAAGGCAACTGTTTGCTGGACTCTGTGAAGGTATGTGGAGGCAGGACAACATGTGTCAGTATGGGGTAAAACAAGTTAACCCAAAACAATAACTTTTGTTGTTTTACAGCACTAAAGGTAAGTTTTACATACTTCTATAATCCATAACTACACGTAAAGCGCTTTAGACCCCCTACACCAGCTGTTCCCAAACTTTTTCTTTTCCTTTTTCCATCACTGTGTAAACGAACAACCCCTGACTTATACTATGGATAGATCCTATTATATTTAATGAATAACAATAACAGAACAACTGAACAACTCTGCAATAAACACAAATATTAAAAACAACAACTGAGGAAAGTTTGTGTAAAATGGAGCGATTTAAATGAATTTTGAGCTGATTATTTTGAGTTTTCCTGATATTTTTAGGAACTTTATATACAATTCTCTGTATTTAACCATCATACATACTTAATAGGCTTCTTATTTGATAAATTCAGCTATTGTTCTATTAGCTCTTTGGTTGTTTTAACTGCAAACTCAGATTTACTTAGTTTAGTTTATCAGAGAGTGAAAGCTCTGTGAATAAAGCTTGTGTTGGTGTTAAATCTTATATAATAATCTAGTTTTTTTCCACAGAAATGAACAAAATGCTGACTAACAGGCCTAATGTGTATATGTTTTTATGTTTTCTAACACCCTTTAAAATCAAGAAGGCCTCACACCCCCCTGTGAAGTTTTGCGACCTCCAGGTTGTGAACCACCGGATTAGACTGTTCTGTCTCATCAAAGAGGCCTTATCAGCTGAAGGAACTTTGTTTCATACTAACATTCCTCACTTCGGGTCCTGTCGCTGTTGTTTTTTATTGTGTCTCAGGGTCACGAGGTCGAAGTCAAATCCCTTGGAGGAGATGTCACAGGTGCGGGCACTATCCATGGCAATGTGGACATCAGCACTTGTGGAGACAGTGTAAGGACACTTACACTCAGCAGTCATTAGAGGGCAGCAGCAGCCTGACTACAGGCTTTAAATGTGTTTGCAGCATTGAGGTTTACAGTACAGATTTTGATTTGGGGACAAAACTGTAAAAAGTTCAATCATTCATCACCTGGCTACAGTCAAGTGTAAGTGATTAGTTGTGTGTGTTTGCAGGCAGTGGATGTCAAGAAGCTCCAGGGCACCAGAATGAATGTCTCAACAGAACGTGGCCCTCTGAAGGTCAAAGCCATCTACGCTGAGTCCAGCTGTGTCTCCTCCTGCTCTGGGAGGGTAGAACTGGGGCTTGTGCACGGTGAGCAAACAGCAGCATTTATTCCTCATCTATACTAAAGCATCTGTCTGTCCTCATCTGTAGTGTTTGTGTGGTTATTAGTGCGACAGCCCAGCTCAAATGTAGAGTGGAGGGAAATGATAAATGTTAGATTCAAACTTATTTGTCCAAAACAACAACAACAACAACAAGTTTTTCATTAATTCATACATATATATATATATAAACAGCTCACTCTACCACCTGAATTACTACAACGTGGACCTAAAACTAATTTAAACTATATATTTTAAATCTAATCTACCACCTGCAGCGAGGAGGTCCTAACATCTTTAACTATATCTCCTGCCTTCATGCCCTTAATAATCATTTAGCATCCATAATTTATAAGTTAACAAGCTTGGGGAGTAACGGATTACA